TGTTGGGGTTTCTTGCTTGGGGGCAAGAGATGAAGTGTTCTGGGGGACTGGATATGAACTCTAGGGACAAGCTGTAACGGATGGTTTGGCGAACCCAGGAGTCCGTGGTGGTGGCTTCCCACTGGTGGGAGAAGAGCGCCAGCCTGCCGCCTATGGCTTGAGAGTCACTTGGACCTTCTGTAGGGGCGTCCCCCTCCCCGAAAGGGCCATTTGCTCTGGCCCTGGTGCCTGGGTCTGGATCCGAACCTGTCTGGTTGACGGTCCTGCCTAGGTGTGGGGGCCCGGGGTGGTTGAGGGAACCCGGTGCCTGTGCCAGTCCGAAAGGGCTGCCTGCGGGGGTACGGGTTTGGGCGCCTGTCGGCCCGCCTGCTGGAGTGGGCCAGCACCTTACGTTTGTCCTTGTTTTCGGTCAGGTAGGGGTTCAAGGCTTCCCCGAACAGTTGCCCACCCTGGTACGGTGCCGTGGCTAGGCGCCACTTGGCCTTTGGGTCGGCTTGCCAGTGTTTGAGCCATAGCATCCTACGTGTTGAGACGTTGGATGCTAACGCTCTGGATGAGAACCTGCCTACGTGTAGTGTGGCATCGGAAACATATTCTGACGCAGCAGCTAGCTTGCTCAGGTCTTGTTGTCTCTGTACCTCCTCCTGGGGGATTCTAGCTTGTATTTGACGAATCCAGAGTAAGGAGGTGCGTGCAAAGAAAGATGCACAAGTGGCAGCTTTTACTGCTCACGCCACCGCCTGGTGGGTCCTGCGGAACGCGAGTTCCCATCTCTTGTCATCGGACTTTAAGACTTCCGCCATGTCCCCCGACACTGCGGTTGGGGAGAAAAGGAACCCAAAGGGTTCGTCCACCTTTGGCACCTCAAGGTCCTCTGACTGTTCTGGCGCAACGCTAAACAGTTTTTTGTCTGATCCCCCCGGGGGAGGAAAGGTGCCCAGTGATGCCCATTGCTTCTTGATGGTGTTCCGAAAGAGAGTCGGGTAGGGAACGTGGTGGTGGGCTACGACGGGTTCGCAGAACAATGGGTCTGCCCCGGGCGGTTGGTCTGGCTGTGGGGTATGGTCCGGTCCAATGTTGGCTGTGGCACTGGCTCTGCGGAGCAGTGGAAGGAAGAAGGGTTGAATACCCCTCCGAATGGGGGAGGATCTGGGGGAGGGTCTTCCTCCTCCCACCATGACAAGTCCTGTTGGTCATCCTCCGTAGGAGAGGAGCCCCTGCTTAGAAAGGACCGTGATGGAGAGGTGGGTTCCTGGTGTCTGGTTTCCCCTGATTGGAAGCTGGATGGGGTCATGGCCGTCACAGGTTCGGGTCTCGGCCCGTGGTTGGCCCTAGTGGCCATCAACCTGTTAAAGGCCTGCTCAATTATGATTTGGAGTCTGTCCTCGGAGGGAAAACCTTCAGTCTCCGTTCTCCTCAGTCCTGCCACTGTGGGGGTGAAGGTGGCCTCGGGTGGTTGCCTGGGCCAGTTCCTCTTCAGGGGTCTGGAGCGACCCTTCCGGGAACCATACCACTTGGGTAGAGGGCCCCAAGGGGAGATCGAAAGGCGCCTCCTCCATTTGCTCCGCCTTTGTCCTAGCCTGCTTTTGCACTTTGGAGAATTCCCTCTCCAGAGCTTGGTGCCTTCTGCTAGCCTGTTTCTCCGCCAACTTGGAAGGTTTCCTTCTGGAAATGGACTTAGCTTTGGCTTTGATCCTGCCTGCCGCCTCCTGCTTGGAGGATTTTTGCCTCTTGCAGCTGGTGGGAGGGGAGGCGGTGTTCTTGGGTTGAGACACCGTGGGCTCCTCCATCCTGGTGTGAGCTTTCTCGGTTTGGTACCGAGAGGGAGCTCCGGCAGGGGATCAGTTGGGGAGATAGGCTGAGCATGTACAGCAGGGAATGGTCGTCCCGCTCTTCTGACCACTTGACCGGTGGTAGGAGGTTGTCCAGTCTTGTCTACTGTTGCGGCCCTCTTGCTTGCTGTAGACTGCAAGTATGCTTATTGTGGTCAGGTCACCAGTATTGTGCAGGCGCTTGAGGTGGATTATTATGTGTACAACTGAATATTATTTTCCCTTTTTTATTTTTTTTAATTTATTATTATTATTATTAATACCACTGTTATTATTGCATGCGTTAAATTATTTATTTTTATTTGTTTATTAATTATTATTATTAATACTACTGTTATTATTGCAGGCGTGTGCCAATGGTCACCTGAGAGGGGAGGGGGGGTCTGGGTGTTTAAAGGAAACCACCAGCAACAGGACCGTTGATGTGTGGGATCAAGGCTCGATCCTGGCTTTGCTGTCTGTAAGATTGAGGGATCTAATGTTGGAATTGGTTACAATAGGCTTTGCCAGTCCGGTAAGGATTCCTCTTTGAAGCTTGGGGCAACAACTCTACTCTTGGTGTGTGTGTGTGCCGCGATCTGTTCCGGACTTAAAATGGCGACCGGAACTGTCCCTGAGAAGAAGGGTGGCGCTTACTAGTTGCTGCTGCTGAGGCGGGAGACTTGAACGGACGAGAAAGCTGCCACCTGCAGCCGCAGCGTGCTTCGGCCTCCAAAATGGTGACCGGAGTAATGTAAACAAGATCGAGCGATCGCTCCGCTTATCCAGCAATCGCTCTCACAACTTCCCAGCTGAGATCTCTGAAACTCTCCCCCCCCGCAAGGAGGAGAGGAGCAAGAGTAAAATTGAGAGGGGTGGTGACCGTGGCTCCAACGGTGAGTTCAGCCGGCTGCTGCACTGGTCCCAGTGCTTAGCAGCTGATCTGAGCCTTTCCCCAGAGATTTTGTTTGGTTTGGCTGCTGCGAGCCCCAGTCGGCTGTCACGCTGATCTGAGCGCTTTGCAGCTGGTTAAGGTTTCTCCCAGTGCCTTCCCTGTCCTGGATTTGAGTCTGGGAAGAACCCCTCTGATGAGATGGCTGCTGCGCTGGTCCCAGCGCTGAGCAGCTGATCTGGCGACCTGCGTTTTCCCCTTCTTTAAGGCTGAAGCTTTAAGGTTTTAGCTCTTACAGGGATTTTGTGATGGGAAAAAAACCCCCGTCCTTATCAGCTGCAGCCTCTCTCATCCAGCGCTGTTCCCAGCGCTGCTGAAAAGGACTGTGAGTGAGGAGAAAATAGAATCCACCAATTATTTAATCTCTACTACCTGCCTTAGACCGGGAGCCAAATTGCCACGTCCGTCTGGAAGACCAAGTCAAAGAATAGGGAGTGGTCACCCAAGGAAGGGCGTGACAAATTTGGCTGACTTGGTCTAATGGGCAGGAAGGCAGAGTTAACCCATTGGTGGATTCTACATCTCCTGTGCTGGAGAAGCAAAACATCTTCAAAGAAAAACAAAGTCCAGTTGCCTCCTGAAAAAGCACCTTTGGGACAACCATGACCTGGATAACTGAGAATCTCCATAGACATCTAGCTATGCACTTTGGGATGAACACCCTTCGAATGTTGCGGGAATATGAGTGGATTTCCAAAAAACATTGCAGACTACAGGAACCATTTGCGCTTCAGTTTGAGATGCAGACAACACAGACTCAACCCCAACAGCCTGCGTCTGTCTTCAACAGTGAAGGGACACAGGGCAGAAAACATCCTGCAGCCAAGAAGGCTCCACACACATTTGCACTACTCAGGTGACCCTGAGAACACAGGTAAACCTCCAAATAGCCTCAGTTACTCTAAAAGAATGCAAAGGACCAGCTGTTTGCAAGGAATATAAATCCATTCCCCACCATCTAGTCAGAGCTGAAGAAGCTTCTTGGATGAGAAGTGAAATGTCTTCAAAGAAAAATAAAGGCCAGTTGCCTCCTGAAAAAGCACCTTTGGGACAACCATGACCTGGATGACTGAGAATCTCCATAGACTCTACTACCCTGTAGATTCCTAGATCCCAACTGCCATTTTGACTCCCTTTTAAAAGTAGAAAACCAAGTTAGGAGCCAAGAATGGAGATCATCTGTGGGCTATTTTTACAATAAATTTTACTTTAAACAAAGGAATTCTGAAACTGGGTTGTTCCTCCCACTTGTACCATGGGCAGGACTGAACATTTTGTGATAATTCTTTTTAACTATCCAAGATAGAACATCTTTCAATTCTTGGCTAGCTCAGATTTTTCAGAGTACCACATTTTCACTTTAAACTCATTTTTTTGCAAACGGAATTTACATTAAAGGTGGAAAGAATTCTGAAGTGATTGATCTTGGTCTGATTTTTTTACATCTCAAAAGCCTGGCATTTTAACAGGGGTGTGTAGACTTTCTATATCCACTGTAAGTGGCATATTAAATTACTTGCAACAGGTTATTCTTAGTTTACTCTAGAGAAAGTGCCACAAGAAGATAGTAATTAAAATAAACCCAGAAGGGCAGTTACAACAAACTCACATATTAGTTGATACATGAGTAATACAGCTGCTCTTTAAATAACCAGAAGCAAGAAGGATGAGAAACATGTGGCATGACTTAAGATGTTTTGGGCCTCTCTTCTACACAGTGCCATTTACAGCAAACT